AATTCGGCGAGCATGGCCCCGCTGGCGCCAGGACACGAAGTGCAAGCCATGGCTACCCCAGCAGATTTCGGTTCCCGACCGCGCGGGGCCGCCGCGGCATCAGCGCCTACCCCAGCAGATTTCGTTCCCGACCGCGCGGGGCCGCCGCGGCAGCAGCGCCTACCTCAGCCGATTTCGGTTCCCGACCGCGCGGGGGCCGCCGCGGCAGCAGCGCCTACCCCAGCCGATTTCGGTTCCCGACCGCGCGGGGCCGCCGCGGCAGCAGCGCCTACCCTGGCCGATTCCGGTTCCCGACCGCGCGGGGCCGCCGCGGCATCAGCGCCTACCCCAGCCGATTGCTTAAGTTCGACGAGGCGCGGAGGGCGGCGAAGGGTTTGAGGTGGCACACGGGCCAGGGCGCTGATAAGCTTGCGCCTCGAGCCCTCAGCTTCCTCAGTGACGCCACCCTTTCCTTCCCCATCTACATCGCGTGGCTGGCGGAGAGTTGGGAGAGGTGGCCATCGCAGCTCATGGCCGCCCACATCGCTCTAATTGCCAAGCCCAAGGTGGCTGTCGACCCATCGCTCTTCTTCGGGCTGCGCACAGAGTCTGGTCACAGGTTCGCGGGCAGCAGCTGCGCGATTGGCTCTTGGCCCATGAGAGGCCCTACTTCGCATTGGCCACTGAAAAGACGACCCTGGATGTTGCTTCTCGGGTTCTTGTGCATGCTGAGGCTGCCATTGCCGAGGGCTTGGGCGCCATCACCTCCATCGTCGACATTGAAAAGTGTTTCGGCTGCATTTGTTGGAGGAGGCTGGTGGGCGCACCCAGGCGTCATCGTTTCCCTCGCCAGTTGCTTGCTAGTGCGCCCGCCATGCATCGGGCACCGCGGCGACTGGTTTGGCTGCAGGCTACGTCCTACTCGGTGGTCGCCGACCAAGGCGTGCTTCCAGGTTGCAAGTTCGCCATGGCGCTGGTGCAGCTGCTGATGATCTCGGCGATGGACGACTTTGTCGATTTTGTGCGACCGTGGGGCAACGTGCAGTGCAATGCTGTCCGTTCCTCCCTGGACGTGTTCTTTTGTGACATTACGCTTCAGATTGTGGCTCAGCTCCGGCAGTTGCAGCAGCTCTCCGTGGACGCGGTCAAGCTGCTTTGTGACGCTCTGATCGACTTGGACCTCCCTGTTGCCAAGACCAGGGTGGCGCTTGCTGGCTCGGACGTGGTCAACACCGCTCAGGTCGCCAAGAGGTTGAAGAGATATGGTCTTCGGGCGTTGCCGTGGTTGGAGGCGCTGGGCTGGAGGCCGGCGCTGGCAAACCTGTGGGAGGCAACGTCTTGCGACGTCGAGCGCATAAGGCGGCCAGCCGCGCTCGGCGTTTCAGGAGGTTGAACGCCACCGGCAGGAATTTCAAGAAGGTTGCTCGAGCAGCAGTCCGCCCCGCGGTCACCTACGGCTTGAGCATCCTGGGCGCTGCTCCGCACATCGTGGCCAGAATGTCCAACCTCGTCAAGCACGGCTGGGATGTCATCCCCAAGGGCAGCTCCCACTGGCTAGCTCCGCGCATGGATAGGTCGCCTGAATCGCACCCCGCTTGCAGCGCGGTCGTTGGCCCGAGCCACAACAGGGCGATCATGTTGCAGGTTGGTGATGTTCCGCATGATGTGTTGCAGTGGGCGTGGCGCTCTCTGTACATGCGAGTCGCCTCTGAGCCCGTCGCCCGCAGTTGGAAGTTGGTGGCTGGCCCCGCTGGGGCCATGGCTCGGAGCAAATGTGTTGTGCGCTCGCGAGCTTGTGAAGTCTTGGACCTGCGAGAGGTGGCCCCGTCAGTCGTCAACTGGGTGGCCTTGCAGGACTACGAAGCCGTGGGTTGGCAGCAGTGGGCCCCAGGGCCGACTCACAAAGATCCTGCTGGTGTCTGGCTAGGTCCCGTTCGCGGGCTTCTACGAGCTGGAGCAACAGCCACGCGGTGGGCCCTTGATCCTCTTGCTCCGCGCTGCTCTGCGCACGGCTGTCCTTGGAGCTTACTTCTCACAGCAGCGGTTGCATCAGTATGCGTATGCCAACAGCTTTGATTGTCGCCGATGCTGCGGCGTTGCAGGTACCTTGCATTGTAGATATTGGCGTTGCCAGTCGTTGGATTCTTTCCGTGAGCAGGCGGTGGATGACGACACCTACACGGCTGCTTGCAACATTGTCCCTGGATACTTGCTCTACTCCAGGACCTTGTATCCCAACTCGACCTCGCCTTGGGGAACTTGGCGCTACGGGAGCGGCTCGATTCGGAAACTGCGCTGCCGCCGAGAGCGATTCGGGAACCTGGCGCTACGACCGCGGCGCTCGGGCTGATCATCTCATCGCGCCGGGCACCATCTACGCGGACGGCTCGCGCAAAAAGCTTCTCTACGGGGACGCCGCTGCTCGCGCTGGATGGGGCCTTGTTGTGGTGGGAGGTCAAAGATATTTTGGATCCGTCTGCGGTCCGTTGCCTGGCCCTCGCCAGACATCGGCCAGGGCGGAGTTGCACGCGTTGCTGCAGGCCCTCACGGTGGGCATCGCGCCCCCCCCCCCCCCCCCCCCATATCCACTCGGACTACTTGCCGCTGGATGACAGCATTGCCCGCGGACGCAGGCGGCGCTTGGCGCCGAGGCGCGACAACGTCGACATCTGGAGGAGGCGGTGGCACTACATCGACGAGCACGGTGGCCTGGAGTCGCTGGCTGAAGGTGAGCCGCCCCCGATTCGCTTCACCTATGTCAAGGGCCACCAGATGGTTGACACTTATGCGAGGGCGTGCAACGACCTGGCAGATAAGGCGGCCAAGCGAGGCCGACGGCTACACGACCTTCCTCGACAGACTGTGCGACGCCACGCGGCGGCCCTCGATCGGGCGCGCCAGGTGGCCCCGTGGACTGCCAGCGCCACGAAGCTGATCTTCGAGGGCGCCATGCCGCCCGACCGCGTCGAGATCCCGCGGCGCCGCCCCGAGGCCCTGCGACTCCAGTGGGCCGAGGAGCGCGGGCAGGCCCCTGCCCCGTCTCCGCCCGCTGCGGAGCCGCGTGCTGTGCCGCCGCCGCCGCCGCCGCCGCCGCCCCACGTGCACTGTCATCGCGCGCGGCGGCGAAGCTTGGAATGGACGTGCGACCGATGCCCCGCTTGCGCGCGGACTCCGCGAGGTACGAGGGCCTTCAGGCTCCGCAAGTGTCTGGTGGCCGAGGCGGCAGCCCTTTGGGGCCTCGAGGGGGGGCGTTCGCCTTACGAAAGTGAGGTTCGCTGGTGAAGAGGAGGCTTGGGATTTAAACCTCGGGGACTCGTGCAGGCGTGCGAAGATCGCGCGAGCGCAGGGTTCCGACGTGCCCAGACCTCCCTCCCCCTCCCCGTTTAGGACCAGGAGAAGGGGGGCTGGCAGGGGGTAGACCGAGGGTGAGGCCTCTGGGGGCCCGCGCCCGAAGGCGCCGAGGCTTGGGGGCCCGCCGCCTGTGCCATCTCCCGCCGTTGGGTTCGCTTCCGAGCCCCCCAGGCCCGATGGGCCTCCGCCCGCGAAAAGGGCTAGGGCCTCTGGAGGCTCGCGGGACGGGGCCTCCTGGACTGCCCGCGGCGCCGTCCCGTCTGCCAGCCCCCTCCCTGCTCAGGGCCCCGTGGGCCCTACCAGTGCCCGTGGGCACCATATCTTGTTGGCTGGTGACACCCATGCATGATGCTGTCGTTGTGGTGCGCGGGCCCAGCCGTCGGCCCTTTCGTCCCGCCTGTGGGGCGACTGTCAGGGTATTGTATCCAGCAGGGACGCCACGTATTTGAAAGCCCTCGAGGCTGGTAAAGATCCAACATCGGGGGAATGGAGGGACGAGCCGCGCCCCCTCCAGGTTTCTGATGATGCCCGCTTCTGGCTTCGTCTTCGGTAGTTCGCTTGGCTTTCATGTCCGTGTTTTGCCTCTCGGTTCATCGTCGAGTCGCGCGCGCTCGCCTTTTCCACTCGTCTCGCCTTTCCTACTCTAGTCTCGGCGCGCTCGGATTCGATTTGGTGGTGCCTCCTCCTCCTCCTCCTCCTCCTCCTCCTCCTCCTCCTCCTCCTCCTCTTCCTCCTCCTCCTCCCCATCCAACTCCTCCTCCTCCTCCTCCTCCTCCTCCTCCTCCTCCTCTCCTCCTCCTCCTCCTCCTCCTCCTCCTCCTCCTCCCCTCCGCCTCCCTCCTCCTCCTCCTCCTCCTCCTCCTCCTCTCCTCCTCCTCCTCCTCCTCCTCCTCCTCCTCCTCCTCCTCCTCCTCCTCCTCCTCCTCCTCCTCCTCATAAGGGGTGCGGGATCGGGATACGAGTCGCTCGAGGGCGTTCCGGCACGCTCGGCTGGAACGTTCTGGGAAGGCCGTGGCGCCCGAGTTGCAGCCTCCAGAGCCGCCACATCTAAGAGATCCCAATGGCTCCCGATCCTGCCCGCCAAGCTCCTCCTCCTCCTCCTCCTCCTCCTCCTCCTCCTCCTCCTCCTCCTCCGCCCGAAATCCCCGATGGCTCCGGATCCGGTGATGTCCCCATCCTGCCCTCTCGGGAGCCTTGAGACGGGGGTTTCTCGCAAACGGGGGTCAGTCAGAGCGCCGGATCCTGCAGGATCCTGCAGGGCCAGGATCCTGCATCGACCAGAGCTTAGGTGCAGGATCCTGCAGGATCCTGCACGGCCTGACTGACCCAGGCCAGCGTTGACCCAGGTCGGAAGATAGGGGAACAAAAAGTGACATAAACATAAAAACACGGAGCTCTGCGCGGATGGCTCGGATCGGCGTGGGGGCCCCCCGGCGGCGCCTCCGGCGCCGCCCCTGGCGCGCTCCGCGCGCCAAGGAGGGGGGTGTCCAGCGCCGATCCGAGAAATCCGCGCGGACCTCCGAGTTTTTATGCTTATGTCACTTTTCGTTCCCCCAGAAGATCCCCGACCCTCGTTTTTGACGGCGACGGCGCCGACGACTTGGGCGCCGGCGGCGGCCTGGCGGCTGGGGCGCGGGCGGCGGCGCCGGCGGGCCGAGCGCCAGCGGCAGGACGTGGCCGCCCCGCCGCGCTGGGCCGCGCCCGCGCCGGAGGCGTGGTCCAGCAGCACGTCGCCCACGGAGGCGCGCCTGCGCACGGGGTCGGGGCTGCCAGGGGGCCTCCACTCGCACTGAAATGCCCGCGCAGCCCCCAGTTGTGCCATCACTGTTTCTTACGTTGTGGGAGGGCGGGTGGGAATGGGCATGCCATGCTTGACTCGCTCGAGCTGGCTAGCTTTGATGCGAACCCTACCCCTACCCCCCACGATTTCTGAGGGGGAGGGCGGGATTCACTTCGTTCGGGAGCTCCCGAGCGAAGTGAACCCCACCCCCACCCCTCAGAAGTCGTGGGGGGTAGGGGTATAGGGTTCGCATGTGGCCCCCCAGCAGTGCGCCTCGGGAGAGGGGGGGAGGGGCGAGCCGGGGCGGGGCAAGGACGTGGATAGATGTAAGTCGGGCCTGTCCCTCTACAGGAGGAATATTCAAGAACAGTCAAAAAATAATCTGGGGATGATGTTTTGTTTTACCATTTTTGACTATGTTGGGGCATTTTTGGAGTATTTTTTATTTTTCGTCCAAACTACGCATGTTGGGCTAAATCGTCCCAGAGCGTTCCTAAGGCTAGATCGCCCCAGGGCGTTCCTTGAGCGCTCTCGGAACGTTCCGGAGCGCTCCGAGGAGGCCACGGCGCCCGATACAGATCTCCCGGAGCCGCCAGATCTCAGAGACCGAGAGTGCCGAGTTGTCCCGGTCCGAGTGCGTCCTGGTCCTGGCCTCGTCGGGGGGATGGTCGCACGAGGCTAGGATTGAGTCGGACTTGTCCCCGTTCAGGAAGAGTATTCAAAGATAGTCCAAAAACAGTCTGGGGATGATGTTTTATTATTTTTTCCTATTTTGAGTTATGTTTGAGTATTTTACATTCGTCATCCAACCGACCTAAGGCTAGAGGATAAATCCGTTCAGAGCGTCCTGGAACGCTCCGAGAGCGTTCGGGCACGCTCTGAGCAGGCCGCGGCGCCAGAGACATCCTCCAGAGCTGCCGAATCTCAGAGATTCTCGATCTATTCTCACCCGAATGTGCAGGGAAGACCCTTGCCAAGGAACACCCTGCTTGCCTCTATGGGTACCCTGGGTTTCTTGGGTTTCGATGGTTCTACGATGGAAAGCGTGACGCTCCCACACCAAAAATCAGTGGACGTCCCTGGGGCCTCCGGGTTGGGGTTCTTGTTGAAAGCTCCTTGTGGACTGGCCTCCACTGTATCCTCGTCTTGGATTCGTCTTAGATGGGAGGGGAGAGGGTCAGGCGATCGCAAACATGGATCAAGGGGGCGTGGACTAGCGACGGGCCCCGTTTCCATGGGAAATCGTGGACTTCCGCCGCCGAGCGAGGCGGCACCGGCCGCATTCTGGGGAGGGCACCTCCCCTGATCCAGGGATCCTTGGCGGCCGCGCGACACATCCATGGCTCGCCAATCCAGGCTTGCTCTCGCCCCCGATCTTGGCTGGGAGGGGAGGGGGGGGACAGCGCCCCCCGCCCCTCCTGCCCTCCCCTGCCTCGCCGGAGGGCGCCCCTCGCGCGGCTCGAGGGAGAGGGCGGGGGCCTTCGGCGCCCGCCAGCGGCGGGCGCGCATCCTCCCCCCTTCCTCGGGGGCAACGCTGGTCTCGGCCTGACGGGCGGGGTCCTGGATCAAGAGTGGCCCACAAGTGCTCGAAGAAGGCCATGCTCGAAAAATCGTCCCCAGATTACAGTGCCGTTTTTTTATACATGCTCCGCGTGCGGATCATATATTAGAAATGCAGGGATTTAGTATCAAAAACAACGATGAGTTCATGCATAAATTTATTTAATCGCTTCGCTCATTCCGCCGGCCCATATTGTCGCACAGTTGTGGGCTAGCCGAGTTTTGGGGCCTCTTGGGGGCCGTTTTGGGGCCTCTTGGGGCCTCTTTTGGGCCTCTTGGGCGCCTCTTGGGGCGTCTTGGGGGCCTCTTGGGGGCCTCTTGGGGCCTTTTTGGGGCCTCCTGGGCGCCTTCTGGGGCGGAGGGCTCGATTTTTCAGTTCTCGGTTCCCCTCTTGAGCCCCTCTTGGGCCCGTCTTGGGGCCTCTTGGTCCGTCTTGGGCGGCACTTGGGCCGTCTTGGGGGCCCTCCTGGGCCGTTCCGGGGCCGTCTTGGGAGCCTCATGGGCCGTCTTGGAGCGGTCTTGGGGGCCTCTTGGGCCGTCTTGGAGCGTCCGGAAGCCGAAAAAGCCAGAACGCAAAAAACAGCGAAAAAAACAATGAAAATCAACGATTTTGGCCTCTTGGGGCCCTCTTCGGAGGCCTCTTGGAAGGCCCTTGGGGCGTCTTGGAGGCCTCTTGGGCTGTCTTGGGGCCCTGTTGGGCGTCTTCGGGCGATCTTTGGCCGTCTCGGGGCCCTCTTGGACCGTCTTGGAGGCTTCTTGGGGGCCTCTTGGCCCGTCCTGGGGCCCTGTAACAGGGCTCCGGCATCTCTGGCCCGACCTTGCGGGGACCTTGCCGGGGACCTTGCCGGGGACCTTGCCGGGGACCGGCCGGGACCTGGTCGGGGTACTTTTCGTCTGGGGACCCCCAGGGGCCGCCCCGCGCGCGCGAAGTAGAAACATTGTAGAGCAGTTACCGGAGATCTTAGCACGCCTCTGGCCCGTTGGGCCGGCGAATTTGAAAATTCATCATGTGTTAGAATCCTATATAAAAAACCATATGTATTAACTATTGCCCTGTCTGTTGTTGGCTATGTTTGAATTTTCCTCCTGCAGAGGGACGCGCCCGACTAAACGCTTCCGTTCGTCATCGGCGGTCTCTCCAGCCTCGGGGTGTTGCACAGCAGCTGCGCCTCGCCGAGGGCGTCCTCCGGGATAGTGTGCCCGCACCGCCCCGAGCGGCCGCCCGAGGGCCGAGAGTTTCTCGGCCGCGCGCAGGGAGGGGTGCAGTGGGAACCCCTGCCAAGAAGCACCCTGCTTGCCTCCAGGAGGAGGAGGAGGAGGAGGAGGAGGAGGAGGAGGAGGAGGAGGAGGAGGAGGGAGGAGGGAGGAGGGAGGAGGGAGGAGGGAGGAGGAGGAGGCGGAGGCGGAGGCGGAGGCGGAGGCGGAGGCGGCTCGAGGAGCAGTGGAGACGCATGCCACGATACACCCTGGTTGCCTCCAGGGTGCCCTGGGTTTCTTGGGTTTCGATGGTTCTGCTGTGGAAAGCGCGACGCTCCCACACCGAAGATCAAGGGACGCCCTGGGGGGTCCAGGGTTGGGTTTCTTGTGGAAGGTGTCTTGTGGACTGGCTTCCATTGTAAGCGGTGTCGGAGGATCGTGCCGCATCGCCGATGCATCGGCGATGCGGCTCGATGTGGAGCCTGCTTTTACCCACGCTGACGTCGCCGACGCATCGCCGACGTCGCCGATGCATCGGTGATGCATCAGCGATGCCTTGGCGATGCATTGGCAATATGGCGCGATCATTCGACCCTATCTAATTACTGTCCCCATCTTGGAGGCTTGTAAAAAAACTGCATAAACATGAAAGCTCGGAGGTCCGCGCAGTTCTCTTGGATCGGCGTTGGGCCCCGCTCCTTGGGGCGTTGAGCGCGCCAGGGGCGGTGCCGGAGGCGCCGCCGGGGGTCTTAGCGCCGGTCCTAGAAATCCGCGCGGGCCTCCCATAGTGTCTGCTTATGTAGTTTGTCCCATCCGTCCTGTGGTGTTGGGTCTCGTTTTGAAGACACAGCGCCCCGCACATCCTCCTCCCCCCTCCTCCTTCCTCCTCCCCCTGCTCCCTCTTCCCATCCGCCTCAGGCCGCATGCGTCAACGCCACCCAGGCCAGAGTTTCGTAGCCCCATAGGGAGCTCCACCGAAGACCCCAGTGGCCCAGGCCGCATGCGTCAACGCCACCCAGAACGGTGTTTCGTGGTCCCACGGGGAGCTCCACCGAAGGCCCCAGTGGCAGGGTCCGCCTGCGTGGACCTTTTGGCACACCCCTCACACGGTTCGTGGCCCCACAGGGAGCTCCACCGAAGGCCCCAGTGACAGGGTCCGCATGCGGGGACCGACACCCATTTTGGCACACCTTCACAGTTCGTGGCCCCACGGGGAGCTCCACCGAAGGCCCCAGCGACAGGGTCCACATGCGGGGACCGCCACCCATTTTGGCACACCCTCACACAGTCCGTGTCCCCACGGTGATCTCCACCGAAGGCCCCAGTGGCAGGGTCCGCCTGCGTGGACCTTTTGGCACACCCCTCCCACGGTTCGTGGCCCCACAGGGAGCTCCACCGAAGGCCCCAGTGACAGGGTCCGCATGCGGGGACCGACACCCATTTTGGCACACCTTCACAGTTCGTGGCCCCACGGGGAGCTCCACCGAAGGCCCCAGCGACAGGGTCCACATGCGGGGACCGCCACCCATTTTGGCACACCCTCACACAGTCCGTGTCCCCACGGTGATCTCCACCGAAGCCCCCAGTGGCAGGGTCCGCATGCGGGGACGGCCACCCATTTTAGTATACCCCTCACACGGTTCGTGGCCCCACAGGGAGCTCCACCGAAGGCCCCAGTGGCAGGGTTCGCTTGCGGGGCATTTTGGCACAGCCTTCACACGGTTCGTGGCCTCACAAGGAGTTCCACCGATGGCCCCAGTGGCAGGGTACGCATTCGGGGACCGCCGCCCATTTTGGCACACCTTTCACACGGTTCGTGGCCCCACAGGGAGCTCCACCGAAGGCCCCAGCGACAGGGTCCGCATGCGGGGACCGCCACCCATTTTAATATACCCTTCACACGGTTCGTGGCCCCACAGAGAGCTCCACCGAAGGCCCCAGTGGCAGGGGCCGCATGCGGGGACCGCTGCCCATTTTGGCACACCCATCGGTTTGTGGCCCCACAGTGAGCTCCACCGAAGGCCCCAGTGACAGGGTCCGCAT